TTAGAGATAAGGGCAAAATAGTTTCTTCCAGGTATCGAGGGGGTGGGGGGGGAAGGAGGGGACGGAGTGAGTGGTAAGGGAGGTGGTAGGGGCGGGGGGAGAAATGACCCAAGCATTGTATGCACATATGAATAATAAAAAAATAAAAAATTTTTTAAAAACTGACATTAACTATGAGCCAATTAAGCACCACTATACACTATCACTTTTTTGAAAGTAGACCAAGAAACTTAGCTTCTTAGGGGTATGATGAAAATAAAGTTACATTCTTTTAAAATATTCTAAAATGTAATTTTCCCATTTTGAAATATTTTTGATACCTTTTATGTGTTCTGCACTTCATAAAAAATGGAAGGAAAAAAACAAAAAGTGTGGTTTTTGCTGTTGGAAAACTAGTCTCAGATACACAAGTTTGTAATTGACTTAGATAAACTTTTGATCCCAAATTAGAAATCCATCAAGTTACAAAACAATGTAATATAAATGACCAGTGTTAACAACAAGAGAAATAAATTTAAATATACTCAGGAAATTCAGGATAAATGCATGTACAGAAGATCCCACCTTCTGAAAAAAAAAAATCATAGTTAAAATAATTTTGTGAGCTGGGTATGTGGATCAATGGTAAAGCAACTTGCTTAGCATGTGCAAGGCCACGGGTTGGATCTACACCATTGTAATAATAATAATATTTTATTAAAGTCTCTAGTCAGAATTTACCTAAACCTTGAACTACTGATGAAAAATATATTCTTTTATTTAGTAAACTGAGGCAATTAAGATTCATCCAATCGAAGAACAAAGATGAGCTGAACAGACTCTAAAAAATTTTAATATTCTTACCCATAACAGCAATGGCTTGACTCAATTCATGATGTTCTACTGTGCCACTTTGGTCTTGATCAAAAGTCATGAAGTTCTGCTTCCAGGCATCAAGAGCTGCCCAAAGATCCTTGAATTCATTAAACCCCATTTTTCCTGTGTAATCTCTCTGACAGTTTTATTAACAAAAATAAGGTTTGGTACCTGAGAGAATTTATCCAACCCAAACTCCAAATTACTGACTGAAAAATAAGTTTGCATCTGCGTAATTAATCTAGTTCAGCACATGAATAGATTTCTGGTTACAAATTGGAAGAGTCTTGATTTTAAACAGATCTTACAAAGTATTTCTAAAGTCTCTAGTTTACTAGTTTATGGGAATTTATAATTAATAAGTGGTTTAATATTGAGAAAGCAATAACTCTATATTTTAGTATTTTCTATTTTCATTCAAGGATACATCCAACATGGCAATCATAATTCTGCAGGTTTCCAAACTGAATGCTATAAAATAAATTTGATATTTGAATTGGAGTCTTCTAAAATTCATTTATGTAAAATTGTGACAATATTCACTTTCAAAACAGAATATTCAAAAATTTCCAACAATACACAATAGCCATGGCCAATATATTTTATTGAATGATAAGCATTTATAGTACAAAAAAAAGAAGACAAACACATTACTGTCTTCACACTACTCACAACCAGTGAGGGCATTAAGTAATTAAATAAGCAATTATAAAATAACTGCAAATTAACTGAGATAAAAGCGTTATAAGTATAGCACTTGGCTTTGCTGAGGCCTATGGAGAAAGAGGGTTTCAGCCTCCATATCACAAATAACAAAGTGGGGTTTAAGTAGAAGTTTGACATGCATACAAATATAAAATAAAAAAACATGAAGGAGATGGAAAACGTAAGGGAGTGGCACAAGAGGACATCAGAAGTCAAACAAAGGCCAGATCATCACACTTTCCAATACCACCCTAAAGAGTTTAGACCAATGAAAGTGAAGTATTTTAAGAAGCAGAAAATAAATACTAAAATTTTCATTTTAGGAACTTCAGTTTACAATGAATAGACAATAAAGTGAGATGATACTGGAGGTAGATAAATCATTTGATGGCTTATTGTAATAGATAAAATAAGAAAAGATCAGCCCCTGAACTGAAACTGGTTTTCTCCTCCTTAGGAAGTAAGAGAAAGGAAGAAAACAATCAACATAAACTACCTTAAAGTGAGTGGCTATAAAAACATTAACATTTCCATATTTATTTATAGTGCTATAATGAGCACACTAGACAAATTTAATTTTCCTAATCCTTATTACCATACATTCAACTAGTATGCTTATGTTATCTTAATAAGGAAATATTATGTTAGCACAATTCAGGTAAGCATACAAAGTTCCTACTTGCAGCTGTTTGATATGAACAAGTGAATCAATAATTTTTAATTTATTTCATGCTGCATGATGACCTATTTTGAAGTTTTAAAAACAAAATTGTATCAGCTAAATTTCTGACTAAGAAAAATTATTCTGTGAAAGAAAATAGCTGATTTTTTCAAATGTTTAATATTGTGCCAAGGTTGTTGATAGTATTTCCAGATAAATAATTCAACAGATACTCAATGAGTACTTACTATAAGCCAAGTAAGCTAAGTGACTTCACAAAAACATTCCAAATGTATAATAGTCTCAATTTTACAAATGAAGAAACAGGCTCAAGTTCATAAAGCTAACAGGTAGAACCGTCAGGATTGGGGCCCAATGTTCTTCCATACAAAAACTACCAGTTGGTGAGGGAAGGGGGTAAATGAGAAGTTTCTGGAATGCTATTCCATCTTTTTGCCAAATAAATCATATCTGTTTTGCTTTGAATTTAACTTGGCATACAATCATGAAGTTGAAGAGACTGAAAGAATGATAATAAATAGCAAAAAGTAAATCAACAAATAACCAGATCTTCAATCTCAGAAAAGACAAAAGAGTGAGATGAAATATTTTTGACAATGATTGGAGAGAGAGATTTTTCAGGAAGGTTAGCAGATTTCACTTCCTCCCCACAATGAAATATACTGACAGTACACTGACCATTTTTTCAAAGGCATGAACCTGTAGACAAAAAGAGAATGAGAGAATAGAAAAAGATTTTGCAATTAGAAATCAAGTGATGTGAGTTAACTAAAGTGCCCTCACAATGAGAAAAGCTGAGAAACAAACTAGTTGTCTTGGAAAAGACTCCAAATATCTAGATATTAGCAGTGCTTCTGAAGACGTGTGTGAAGGTGGAGATAAAAGCAGAAGATGCATTTAGCTGGATGGCTGTCACACTATTCTCACCCTAGCAGAAGTCTGGAGTTTTATTCTCTGGAAATTTCTCTGGACTGTAGGATGTCAGACACAGTTGAGATGAGTTATCTACTAAAAACAAGGCAATCAACTGAAAATTTACAAAAGACCTGAGTACCCTGCTGAATCCACTTCACCCAGGCAGAATATCAAATGAAAAAGCAGTCCAAAGTGAAACAACCAAACCACCAGGCCAAATAACCACATACCAAAGCTTATAATTAAATACCTAATCATGGTGCCAGGGTTTATAATCAGCACTTTAACAAAATATGAGCAACAAAGCATGATCAGACACCTGAGAAAAGACTTGGAAGATAATAAGCAAACTGATGGGATAAAAGCAATTTTGAGGAGGAAATGTTTACGTAAGAAGAGAAAGAAAATTAGGTATATTAAGAGTCTCGGGGAGATGATAGGAAATATCACAATGATGAAAAGAGAACAGAAGCTCTTAGCTCTTGAAAACACAATAGCAAGATGCTAGGTGTGGTGGCACATGCCCATAACCCCAGTACTTGGAAAGATGAAGCAGGAGGATTGTGAGTTCAAGGCCAGCCTGGGCTATATAGCAAGACCCTGTATCAAAAACAAATAAAAAGTGACAGCAGAAATGAAAGACTTATAGAAGATTTAGAAAATAAAGTTGAGGACATTTCCTTAGAAGTACAGAAAACAAAAAGAGAAAAGTATAAGAACCAGACACAATAATAGGCATTAGAGAAAAAGAAATGGAGAAAACATCACTGAAGAAAATTTCCCAGAACTAAAGTAAATGAGTTTCCAGATGAGCATAACCACTGAGTTCTCTACACAAGACTAAAGTTCAGAATATTAGGGATGGAGAGAAGATCTTCCAAGCTTCCAAAAAGGAATGGCAAAACATATAGGTAAGAAAAAGAAAGACAAAGCAATGATGGAAGCTAAGAATTGGCTGTACTTCTGAAACTGTGTATGAAGGTGGAGAAAAACTGCATGAAGGTCTGTGTAAGGAGCACTCCAAGCCTCCAATCCCCTTGCCACCTCAGTGGTGTTGAATCAGTGTCACAACTACTCCCTTTGCTCCATGAAGCAATACCTTTAAAATTCTGTGTACGAATGCTTTGCAACTAGAGCCCTGTAACTGGCCAGTCACTCAATGCTGAAGGTAGAATGAAAGAACTTCCAGATACATAAAATTGCAAACCTTTACCGCTCATGCACTCTTTTATTAAAAACTAATGATATATTTCAGTGAAATAGGGATTGAATAAAAATAAAGAAGGACAAGACAACAAAAGACTGAGTGAAGGGAAGAGCTAATTCAAGACAGAGGGAAAAGTCAGCTGCAGAATGATGGTGAAAGAATGAAAGGCATGCGTAGAACACAAACCACTGTTAACTTTAAGGACAGCAACAAAATTAGAAATAAGGGAGAAATGAACCAAGCCTTGTATGCACATATGAATAATAAAAGAAAAAGAAAAAAAAAAGAACAGCAAAAAGTTACATAAAAAGGAAAAGCAGTCATGCATTATCATAAGACACAGCTATGAATAGTATGTGTGTAGTAAAAGTTAAATACCTGTTACTGATCTAATTACTAAATAATCACATTGCAAGGATGGGAGAATGAAAAGTGCCCATGTGAAATGCAGGGATTGGGTAACTTCGAGGTTAAAAGAGAGTTAAAATCCTAAATTGTTTGGTGTGGTGCATGCCTGTAACCCAGCACTCAGGAGACTGAGGCAGAAGGATCAGGAGTTTCAGGCCAACCTGGGCTACAGAGCAAAGTCTAAGTCAGCCAACAATACTGAATAAGACCCTTTATCTCAAGGAAAAAAAAAGTTAAAATCCTCATTTTTCATAGCATGACATTAATTAATAATCATTAAACTGGAAATATATAATGTTAAAAGCATGATATTTTGAGAACTAGAAGCAAATTTCAAGAGAATCAGATAAAAAATTTTCTAAGAGGTCTTTTCTATGAGTGGTTAATGTTGGAAAGGCAAGAGTATACAATGAAGAGTTATTTTCATAAGTTTTGTAGAACTATTTGACTCTCTAAATGATGAGCATGTATAGCTCATTTTTTTTAATGTTTTAAGTGGGGGGATAAAAAAGTCAGAAATAGATTTCCTATTCCAATTTCAAGAAGAAGGAAAAAAAAAAGATCTCACGAGAGTAAGTTCCACTAATCCCAGACTGTGTCAAACATCTCTGAAGTTCTTCAGCATCCACTTCACCATCCTGTTAAAAAGAAGGATAACCTGATTTATCATGCAGGTGTATAAAAGTATATTGCAATGTTCATTGATGGCTCTAAGCTAATTAAAAAATACACATTCTTAAAAAAACCAGCTACAAAATTCTAGAGCTAAATATCAACAGAGAAGGTGTCTTGCAGAACATCGTTCAGTGAATCGTTTTCTCTATTTCTGAAAACAGCACACTGTCTTATGATAGTGCAAAATGTCTTCTGAAAGTCATTGTGCCTCTACTAGACAAAAGGTTAGATGAAAAAGAATTAACCTAGAAGGTAACACCCACGCACAGGAAATCAATGTGAGTCAATGCCCTGTATAGCTGTCCTTATCTCAACCAGCAAAAACCCTTGTCCCTCCCTGTTATTGCTTATACTCTGTCTAAACAAAATTAGAAATAAGGGCAAAATAGTTTCTGCTGGGTATTGGAGGGGGGAGAGGGAGGGGGCGGAGTGGGTGGTAAGGGAGGGGGTGGGGGCAGGGGGGAGAAATGAACCAAGCCTTGTATGCACATATGAATAATAAAAGAAAAAGGAAAAAAAAAAAATAAATAAAAAATAAAAATGTATTTATTCATTGATTAACAAAAAAAAAGAGGAATGAGAGAGTCTTATGCAAGATCTGGGCTGTGGAATACTATAAAATAATTATAAACCATGATGAATAAATAAATAAATAAATAAATAAATAAAATGGAAAAATTCCATAAATGTTTTCAGAGAAGTCTCTTTCCACACTCATACTTATTTTGCTGGGAGAATATTAACAAAGGAAAACTGTATAGTGAAGCTTTAAATGGAAGGGAAAAATATCCCCCTGCCACTACCAATATTATCTCCAGCAAATTTTCAGAGTCTCCATGTATTTTGTTGCTGTTCTTCTGATTACAGTCTGAATTTCTTGTTTGAATTATGGGGAAAAAAAGTTTTTTGAGGTTTTTTTTTGTTTTTTTTTTGTTTTTTTTTTTTAGCACAAGCAAGAAACCACAATGGAAATGAAACCCATCAAGCATTGTCATTAGGTTTCAGTATCTATTCCTGTTTTCTACACAAATATACAGTAAGGTCATTCACTTGGGAGCATCACACACATTGGCTCAAATGCAAAACAACAGCTATAAGAAAGGGTTAAGGAAATAAATTTAAAGCATGCTTTGTAAAAACCAAGAAACAAACAAATAAAAACTTGTATAAACTATTTCTAAGAAGTCCTATAAACACTCATTTTCCAATGGAACTTTGGTAATTGTTAGAAATATCTTTAAGATATTAGGGTGTCACGAGAGAGAGAAGACACAACTCAGAAGTCAACAGGCAAGGCAAAATTTACTTCTGCAAAGAGCAAGCACACTCAGCGGGTAGTCTGCTGGGGTTTCATCTCTAATGCAATGCTGCCTTTCTCCTGATTTAGGCTGGTTTGGGGTTCACAGTCTAGTGGTTGCCTAATTAGAAAGAGGATATAGGGAGAGGTTTTGAAGACAAAGAAGTTTAAAAGCTTAACTATTTTAGGTCCTCATCTAGCAGAATTTTGTCCAGCTGAGGATAACCACCCTTTGTTCTTTTTTTTTTTTTTTTGAACTCAGGGCCTTCACCTTGAGCCTCTCTGCCAGCCCTTTTTGTGACAGGTATTTTTGAGACAGGGTCTCGGGAACTATTTGCCTTGGCTGGCTTCGAACCGCAATGCTCCTGGTCTCTGCTGCCTGAGTAGCTAGGATTACAGGTATGCACCTGACAAACCTTTGTTCTTAATAGAAACTTTTATCACATTAAGCAGAGTCCATGAAGCAAACATATAGGAAGCAAGTTAGTGAGACTAACATTTGTCACAGCAGTGGTTACTGATTAAATCCTTTGACAGAAAAGACCCAGCCTAAGATGATTCTCACCCTAATAAAGCCCTATAAACAATTAAAGTGATTCTAACTGAAACTTAAAAACACTGAAACACATTCTTCTCATAGATTATCCTTATAGTAATTTCTGCTTAGAGTATCTTTGGGATCTTTACTAAATTTTGAAGTCTATAATTATAAAAATATACTTTGAGCTGGAGGCATGGATCAAGTTAGACAGTGTTTATAGAGGCCTTAGTTTCAATCCCCAGTACTATAAGAAAAAAAATTATACTTTAAGAAAAATTAACTGTATTTTTAAACTGGGGGCTGCGTTAGAAATTTTTTCCTCCAATTATAATGACTTTAGCAGGATTTTGTGTCACGTTTATTTAACCAACAATTATCTAAATCTCTATTTATAAATCCTGAAGCAATTGTTACAAACCATTATTATATTTAAGACTCTCAAAAATTATGAACACACATTTAATGTGTTCTGAGAAGAAATCAACAGTAAAACACCCAATTAAGTCTGACAGCTGCCACTATCAATACCAGCTCAGTGACATGACAAACACAAATGCCAGGTGGTTGTCAATTACTGCCTAGTAAATTTCCAAAGACTTTTTTCAAATTATGGAAACAGAAACAAAAGTAGGAAATGACTTTTTCTCTTTTAAGACATGCCTTCTAGGATGTTGAAGGTAACATAGTTATAAATTATTATTTTCTTTTTAACTCTCCTTAAGTAGGAAAATGCTATTTTACTTATAGATTAATAAGAATTATTAAGCCTCATCACTTTTTCCCAATGCATAAAAATAATGCATTGTGAAAACAATACAAATAATGCAATAAACAGGCAACACAAACTTAAAACTTTCAAGAACAATTTGAATGTACTGACAATCTCAACCAACTGACTAAAAGGAAGAGAAATAAATCTAATGACATTTGCTGTTCAAGTATCAGGCCTTTAATGTAACACATTTCACACAAATTCTACCTAACACACACAGGGCACTACCATAAATTCTATACATCTAGATCCAGAAGAAGAAACCTTGAAGGGTCTTTTGTAGCAAATGACCAAAGTTTATAGTAAAAGCAAACTTGAACAAATGCTGGTTGAAAAGACACCTAGGAAAAGTTGTTATAAATTTGAGTTGAAGACCATAGAAAGTATTTTTAGGACCTTCTCTAACTCTTTTTGTATGGAATGAAAACTAAGAAATATACCTCATTATTCCCTCCCACTAAATAAGACAGAGCTTTAAACTGCACGTGCCACGTTCCCACTTGTTCATTTACCTGTCGTAGTCCACACTCCCCTCCCCCACTGCTGTGCATAGATACAATACAGATGAAAAGTGGTTTATGTCATGTACTTCAGAAGTTAATGCGTATTCTGCCTATGAAAAATGAAGTTTATTATGCTTTTACCAACGTTGAGTATTAAATGCTATAAAACTCAGAAACTGTCCATTAAATTTCTAAAAAAAAAAGTTCTGATTTTTTTAAATTTATTTATTTGAGATGGGATCTCCCTATGTTGCCCAGGTCGGCCAAGCCATCCTCCTGCCTCAGCCTCCTAAGTATCTTCAAGTATAGAAGCAAGCCACTGTGAGCCCAGCTGATCTTTCATAAACTTTTCATCTTACGAGACTTATAAGCAAAGTCACTGAAATATAAAATACTTTTGTCTCAAGTTACATTGTTCTGCTAAATACTTGGGTTTATCTTCTAAAAACAGACTTAAACATGAGAAGTAAATTGGTCCATATTTCAATGTCTTACAAATGTCAAATCACATAGGTTGAATAGGCTTCATAAAGTCCAGTAGAGTAGATATGGAGGTGGGACAAATGGCGCCATTGGTTCAAGCAGAGGGTCATATTTTTTTCCACTAAAAAATACAAAGCTGAATTATACATTCAAAATTTCAACTCTATATTGGCTTTGTGTACACTATGTAGAAGCAAAAATTAAGAAGGAAGAGGAGATCTATAGCAAAGGCAAAAGTTTGATTCTGATGACTCCCCATGTTACTAGGATATGATGAGTATCACACTGCTTAAAACCAGTAAGCTGGATGGGGCACCAGACTCATGAAAGAAAGCAAAACAAAACAAAGCAAGCAAAATATACTGTTGACACATGCCTGAGGATATCACTTCCGAGAAGCTGAAGCCTTGCAAAGCAGGACTAAAACGGTAAGCTAAAGTTGCTCCTCATTTGCTAATGGGATTTCCAATATCGCCATTGGGTGGAAGCCCTGAATTCTCCAAAATCTGATCGTGAACCCACTCAAGGGGGGGACAATAATAAAACCATTAGATAAAGAAGGCTAACGGGGGAGAGGAAAGGATGACAGGGTAGAGGACAGAAAAGAAGAAGAAAAAAAATCCACAAACTCCATTTAAAATAAACTTACAAACCAAAATTCCAAATATATGAAGAAAGCATACATTCAAAAAAAAAAGCCAATAAAATTCATACAAGATAAAATTAATTTAACAGAGCAATCATTAACACAATTATGCTATGAAAATGCATATAGGTAAGTTAACAAATAACTTACTAAGGCGTAACAGGGTTTCATTCATTCCTTACAAATATTAACTGAACAACCCACTGCATGCAAACACCATTCAATGCACTAGGTAACAAACTATGTGCAAAACACATTCCTGACCTTTACAGAGCTTACTTTTTAGTGGTAGAAGATAAAAAAAAAATTATATTTGATGATAATAAGGATAATGACGCTCTTGGTATTGCTATCATCTTTACCTATTCACCTTTTAGCATTTCTTTCCCTGTCTCATTAGCACTTCCTATGCGTCTGTCTCCCTGACTAGACAGAGATCCTCTGAGTCAGTGTAGGAGCTTTTTATTCCTCTGCATTCCTAGGACTTATCACAGGACCAAGTACAAAGATTACTTGTTTTCTAGAATGAAGACAATTATTGTTGGTTCTCGGGTAAAGTGTTGTCATTTCTGACAGTGTGCAGCTGTATGCATTTACTAATTTTGAAAGGTTAAAATGTTAGAACTCCTCACTCAAATGTGAATTACACTTAACGATCTAAAATCAAATATGACAAACAAAAATCTACTAACTATACTTTTCTGTAGAATTTTTGGAGTTA